ACAGTACCATAGCTATGTAGATGACACACAAATTTACGTAACAATTTCACCAGGAGACTATGCTCCAATTCAAACACTGAGTAAGTGCATTGAACAAATCAATGACTGGATGTGTCAGAACTTTCTCCAATTAAACAAAGATAAAACTGAGGTAATGGTTTTTGGAGCGAAGGCAGAACGTATAAAAGTTAGCGCTGAGCTTCAGTCTGCAATGTTCAAAACAACAGATAGAGCCAGAAATCTAGGTGTAGTCATGGACTCTGACCTGAGTTTCAACAGTCACATTAAAACAGTTACTAAATCAGCCTACTATCACCTAAAGAATATATCTAGGATTAAAAGACTAATGTCACAGCAGGATTTGGAAAAACTTGTCCATGCTTTTATCTTCAGTAGACTCAACTACTGCAATGGTGTCTTCACAGGTCTCACTAAAAAATCTATTAGGAAGCTGCAGCTAATTCAGAACGCTGCTGCTCGAGTCCTCACTAACACTAAGAAAGTGGATCACATCACTCCTGTTCTGAAGTCTTTACACTGGCTTCCTGTGTGTCAAAGAATAGATTTCAAAATACTGCTGCTGGTTTATAAAGCACTGAATGGTTTAGGCCCAAAATACATTTCTGACCTCCTGCTAAATTATAAACCATCCAGATCTCTCAGGTCTTCAGGGACTGGTCTGCTTTCTGTCCCCAGAGTCAGAACTAAACATGGTGAAGCAGCGTTCAGTTATTATGCTCCAAATATCTGGAACAAACTCCCAGAAACCTGCAGGTCCGCTGCAACTCTGACTACTTTTAAATCCAGGCTGAAGACTTTTCTTTTTGTCGCTGCTTTTAATTGAACTATTCATATCTTAGACTGTACTGTAACTTTGATCCATGTACTTTTTTCTTTCAATGTTTATTTTATTAGCTTTTCTTTTTAATGACTGATTTTAAATGCCATTTTCTTAATGTCTTTCATTTTTTGTAAAGCACTTTGAATTGCCTTGTGTTGAAAAGTGCTATATAAATAAACTTGCCTTGCCTTGCCTAATAAAACAGAAAGAAAACCAATTTGCTTTCAGCCTGCTTTATTCAACTAAAAGCAAACTAATCACACAATCACTTTACAGAATTAATCGAGATTTTGAGGAAGATGTATGACAAAGAAAACTGTCTAATTTCGTCAGTTTAGCCTTTACATCTCCTTGTTCTCTCTTGTCCTTTCTCTTTTGAGCGCCGCTCTTGTGCTTTGCTTTGCTGTAGGCCTACATTATAAATGCAAGCTATTCAATTGTTTATAATGCTGCCAAACTTGCTGCTTCTAGCTACAGTACCTATAACTTTTGAGGTTGATGAAACGGTAGCTCGGCATGCAAGGTATCACATGACATGAAAGGGAGCAAGGTCATTGGACAGACTAATTATAAATTAATTTAGGTTAATTGGTTACTTTGAAGACTGCGTGAAGCGAAATATATATATATAATATATATATATATATATATGGGCCCCTGGCCGGCTGCACCGTCGATAGTTCACTGGTATGAGGCGAGCAAAGATATTAAAATAGTCCTTAGTGATTCTACACCTATATTTAGAAATAGTGCGCTGCTTGGGATTGAGAATAATAACACCTAGATATGTTATCACACTTCAACACAACTTCACAATGTTATCATGGTTTCGTTTTTATTTGATATGCCTCCAGTAATATTGACCTCACTATTACCTGTTGTGTGCAATATTTGACAGCTGAAAACTCACAGTGACTCAGCACTTTTCATGTACCTCTGCACACGTAAAGTAAACCAGCTCTGGCAATCATTAAACTGAACAGACTGCGACTGTATAATGCATCCATGACGTGTTTACATATCATTTGCACTTTCTTTGTATCTTTCTCTGATTCAGTGTTTGAACTCTAGAGTTTGAGTTGAGTAGCTGCCACTATCAAAGCTGTCATGTCTTTTGATGCATGAATCACAATTCATTCATTCAGGATCATTCCAAGTTATCTAGGAGGCTGTGGCTCAGTGAATAGTGTGCTGGACTTCGAATCAGGGGATAGCAAGTTCGAGTCCCACTGCAGTCAGCATGTTGTTGTGTCCCTGGGCAAGACACTTCACCCCAAATTGCTCCTGTGGCGATTGTCCACAGTACTGAATGTATGTAAGTCGCTTTGGATAAAAGCGTCTAACAAATTACATGTAATGTAATCTAAGATTTGAAAAAAAGATTGGGTCGTTTGATTGCACCGATGACATTCCACCTATTCATATTGTTTCATTGCATTCCTAAAGTTCCAATGTTGTCTTAATTGGTATGCAGGCTGTCTTTAGTTAAAAGTGTTTGTCCTGGTTGTACCTTGAGTCCTGCACTTTTGTAGATTTGACAGCAGAGGGCTCTGAACTACACGTCCTGACATTCAATTCCTCCAATGTACACCAAAACAGGAACTCCAATGTTTTGCAATGTATATGACTTCCCCAGTGAGACTCTTTCAGAAGGTTAAAGGTCACCTATTATGCAAAATCGACATTGTCATGTCTTTTATACATAAAAGTGTAAAAAGATTCAGAAAGTTTCAGGAAAAAAGATTCTCTCTCTCTTTGTCCTGATCCATTTATATAAAAACCTGTCTGAAAATGAGCTGATCAGATTTTGGCCACTTTATGATGTCATAACGATGTGTTGGCTTGTGTAACCATTAGCCAATAACCAACCAAGGTAACCCCCCCCCCCCACCTTATCACCTGAATCTCCTCCTAGAGCACCATTGTGTTCTTTTTAACCAAATCTCTCTCAGAGGGGCGTGGGGAGGGGCTCCTTATTTTCATCTAAAGTAACAGACAGAGAATCAGCACTTTGGAAACAGGGCTGAAACAGAGGGGATTATGGGATGCTGCAATGATCTGTTTGGTGTTTGGAGCCAAACACTTCAGAGACATGTTTTGTATATATCTGAGACCTATGATATATTGATGAAAAACAATATAATAAGAGACCTTTATGGACCCTTTTATCAACCCAGTGATGAACAGTTTTTTTACCCATATCTTGTAATTTACCCTGGGATTCAAAGGCATACATCATTACTGTGGAAAAGCTGCTTCTCCCTGCGTTGTTGTTTTAGTCTGTCATGTTCCAGAGTGCCTGTAAAGGCCAGCGTCGTCAGAGATGTGACGGATGAAAACAATGCTCAGGTTCTCTCATGCCACAACTAGTGGACCATGGCACTATACAAAAAGCTTCCTAGTAGAATAAGAAAACTCTTAGTTATGATGTTTTTCTAAGAATTTCCCCTTATACTTGCAACAAGATCCAGATCCTTATTCAATGCCACTACAAAACTGGCGTGTCTTCTTGAAGAACTAAGTGCTTTATACCAATGGTAAAAAAAAAACTACACACATATAGAGTGTATTTGCACACCGGTGCTTTTCAGGCTCTAGCTCCGAACTGGCCCTGGAACCGCGTTGGTGTGAAAGGGGCATCAGAGGAGGACTTTCTCTTACTTCCGGATTTCAGACTTTTTTTTCTCCCTTCTGCCTCCTCGCTGCATCTATTTCCTCTTTCAGCTTGAACAACAGTGTTAGTCTATGGCGTACACCCTCCCGTCACAAACACATGCTCACTTCCCTCCTTCTTTCTGCATCGGTCCCTCCCCTCCTTCCTCTCTCCTCCCCTCCTGCCTCCCCTCCCCCGTGGGAAACCCAGTTCAGTGTGACTGTGGTTGTCCTTCCTGGAAGCTGTGGTGGTGACTCTGGCTCCTCCACTCAGAGGATAGAAAAGTGCCAGCCAGCCCGTGTGTGTCTATGTCTGAGAGTGTGTGTGTCTATGTGTGTGTGTGCACGCACCCTCCACAAACATTCCACCACCGTACCGTCCGTCCATTCGACCGCCGTCCGGCCTCGCACGAGAGCCACCCCGCCACCGCGGTTCAGTCTTGACGCCAGCCCTGAAGACTCACATTACACACACACACACACACAAACTCACACACAAGACATGTGTGCGCACAACACCGCATAAACAAAACACTTGGCAAGACACACACGCACACACACATGCACAAGGCAGCGAGCACACAAGACGGGCTTAAGCACACACCAGCACACTCACTCAAATAAACAATATGCACTTTGCAGAACACACACATTTTGGGGCCGCAGACCACAGACATTGCATCCTGAAGTAGATCAAAGCGTTCTCCAGCAGTAAACACACACAAGGCTCTTCTCTGCTCTCTCATCCCCGCGGAGCCGTTCTGGTGAAGCACGGCACAATTATGCTGATCCTCTTGAGGAACAACTCGTTGTCATTAATCATTGTTCGGGGGGTTTTCCTGTGCACCCTGTACGCGTTGGCAGACTCTCGGTGATTCACACTATTCCTCTCCCTTTCCTTTTTAAAACTTCACGATCCTTCTCATTTCTCCTCCACTCTGTCTCCTGCCTTCCCACCACCCTGTTATTGAACGTCTACGCCAAATCAGTCACCCAACCGCAGCCCTTCAGATCTTTTCCCTTTTGTTTTCCCCTTCGCTCAGTCTCTCCATCCTCCCTCTCGCCCTCTCCTTCACTGTCTGTCCATTGTTGAGGAGACAGTGGCGCAGACAATCGGAGAGAGGAGATATCCGCTGGTGAACCACAGGATTGGAGAGAAAGAATGGCAGGGAGACAGCAGAGTAGAGGAAGATACATAGACTGATATGAGGGTAAAGTTAATTACAGGGGACTGCCAATTAGAGGGCACATTGATGGGTCTGTTTGCCTCGCCGCGGCATCCCAAAAACATCACCAGCTCCCACCATGTTTATCCTCTGCAGCCACAAGACCACAGCTCCCATCAGCCATCACTGGAGACAGCGTAGATACAGATGGGGTTACGGCTGGAGAACATGCAAGCAGTGTTTGCAGACATGTAGCTTTCAACCATTGCATAGCAGATCGTGTGAAGCTGCATGTGGCCATTTGTTTAAAGTTGAAAAAACACGCAGAGAAATACATGAACAAAGGTAAAGGCACTTAGTCTTTATAGAGATTTTGTCAAACATTCTTGGAAAACATTATCAAATGTATAAATGATTTGGGGAAACAACACATATCACAGTTCATCAGTAAAAACTCAACGTCACTCTGTTGAGCGTTATATATGGCTCTGTTAGACACCGTGCATTCGTCAAGCATGATCATAAACAGGAATTTATTCAAATCTTCTTTCACATTCCTTCATTTTCATTATATATGATTGTTTGTGATTATCTGAAACTCCACCCACAGTCTCATATGGCTTTTAGAGTCCCTCAAGGGCAGAGACAATCATCAAAGGTTGAGTCATCTTTCTCCGACGGGTTCCTATTTGCTACGTGGTGAACATGGATAGCTCCATGTCCAGAGTTCATTTGGAAACCAGACCCTCAGAAAGCTCCGATCTCAGTCCCCCACCCCTGGCCCGACTTGGCCGGTCCGCTCAAGCCCCTGCGCTGGGCTGTAGGAGACCCCAGAGGTGCGAAGGGCCTGAAAGAGACCTGCATTGGAGCAGAAGATGAAGAAGTAGAAGTAGAGGAGGGGGTAGAAGGAGAGGAAGAGGAAGGGGTGGGGAGGGGAAGAGGCGAGGCCCTGGTGGCGCTGTGAGGGGAACGCTGGGTCGGTCTGGAGGGGGCCATGGAAGCAGAGGGGGCCATGGAAGCAGAGGCTGCCAGGGAGGGCAACCTGTGGATGGTGGCCAGGGCGGAGGGGGCATGGAGCTGGGGAACGCCCGGATGGCAGCCAGCCAGGGGGCCGAGGCGCAGGGAGGCGTGCGACGGGTAGCTCCCCAGCAGCGCCATGTCCCTCCGCCCGCTGGGGAACGGTGAAGAGGAGGAGACCGGTGAGGCGGCAGAGATCTGAGGGAAGGACGCGAAAGGCCAAGGTGGAAAGGGCAAGGCGGCGGCTGGCGGTGACTGCATGAGGAGGGGGTCGAGCTCACTCGCACAGTGGGAAAGGTGGGAGACCAGGCGCGCTCCTATAGGGTCTGGGGACTCCCCGTCCAGGGAGCTGAGGTACCGCACCACCTCCCCAACACACTCCCTGAAGCCCAAGGTCCTGTAGTCCACTGCCAGGGCCCTCGCATCGAAGTAACCTTAGAAAGAAAGGAGATGTCATATATTGACTAACATGGAATGGAGTAATGGAATACAGTTAGTCATGGCAACCATAATGAATCTACTGTGTGCTTTCTCTTTTCCAAAAAGGGTACAATAAATAATTTTACTTGGAATTGGTTTTACATATTTTCCAGCATTATTCCAAAGGGCCTTTCGTGTCCATATTCCAAAAGACAAAAGAAGAAGCAACAAACTCAGAAATCTCACCTTTTCCTCCCATGGCGTGCAGGAGTTTGAGGTGGTCCACGGTCATCTGCAGGATTTCTGCCTTCTCCAGCTTCGATGAACCCTGCATGGAAATGAACAACATGTTACCAAGTTGCAGCAGATTTTATTTAGCTGGTTATTTTTTCTTGAATTGTTTAAAGAACATTTGATTTATGAGCAGTCACCTGTTTCTCAAAAGCACTGGGCACCAGCCTCCTGAGCTCCGACAGGCTGTGGTTGATCCGGTCTCTGCGCCTCTTCTCTATGACCTACACAACAAGAAGAGCAGAGAGACTGTCAGGGCCAAACTAAATGACAGGACTCAAAAGATTAAGATCCAAGGCCGTAATCCACTCACCCCTCGTCTCTTCTTTCGGGCCATGATCTGCGAGGCGCTACCAGGAGACATGGACCCGGTGACTGGGCTGTACCATGGAGATAGAGAAAAACAGGGATGAGGGAAATGGAGAGATGGTATTGGCTGAGAGAGTTCACTTTGATTCTCCTGCATATTGTTAGTATTACCCTGCTTAATATGACACAGAGGCGGGATTGCACATCAGCTCCCTACAATCGAATTAGTTTTTTGGGCACAGTTGAGCAGAGGAGTGCCCGGGAGAGGAGGGAAGACGAAATTGTTTTTGGTTTGATGCGTTTCTGAACATTAGTCTCAGTGAAATGACATGCTGTTCTCCTTTCCATCTGAGCAAAAGCACTTTTAGAAAGATGATTATATAGCCTCGGGGCGATGCTTTCGCTCGCATGGGGCTCCAGCGTGCGGATCTGAGTTTCTCAGAGTACAGTCTCTCAATATGGATCGTGTTTGTTTGTGTGCTTCATCTTGCAGGCCTGAGAGTCGCTGACAGCTTGGAGTTTGCTTCAAACTGCCTCATCAAAGACTTACTGCGTTTCTATTAGATTTTAACATGAAGGCTGCCAATTTAGCTGTGTGTTTTTATTTAGGTTTACCTTTGATGGGCTGACTTGAAAAGACGGCACTGTCTTCTGTTTGCATGTCACATGACAATTTGATTTATCCAAACCGTCTTTAGTGGTACTGGCTGGCTGGATGTCTGTGATGTTACCAGTGTTGCTTGGAATGTGTTTTCTATATATACTGATGGATGTTCCTTTTAATCCACATTAAAAGACGAGGATTTCTTTTTTTAAATGTGCCTATAAATGACGTGTAATGTCGGGAGTCATTTTAATTACTCAGACATTTTTCAAGACGCTGTATAAAGTTATATATATAGTTTTGAGTTATACATCTTGGTGTAGAAGTAATATTTGCATTTAAACATATGTTTTGCAAATTAAATAATAAGTATTTTACTTTCTAATTTGCATTTTTGGAAATTGTCTTACTTTATATATTTAATGATATTATCAAACTATTATTTATTTTGAGACACAAGAATACTATATGTCAAATAATAACCTCAATAAAACTGTAAATAAATTGTCCTTTAGTCCCTCAGAAATCTATATTTTTTATATTTAAATAAATGGAAGTTTTATAAAAACAAATTAAAAGCTCACACAAAGTGGGCCTCAAATATTCTTATGATTTAAAATGTGATGTGCGATTGTCTCTCTCTCTAGCTTTTGTGTTAATTTTAAAGTTCAGTTTTAATTTGTTATATTAATATATATATATATATATATATATATTGAACTGGAAATGTATACAAATCGAATATTTCTACATCACAGTCAGCAACAATAAGATATTAATTAAAACATATTTGATGGAAAAAGTAAATCTTCACTCACAAGACTTTAAAAAATTACTTTGATGGAAAGATGATTCCTAAATTAAATGCATTTATTTCCAATCATACAGTGTCATACAGGAAATTCTTATTCAAGCCGTTTCCGCAGTTCAGACATGACAGGCCTATACGTATTGTAATGCATGTCATGCGTGCAATGACGACTACCAAACTTTTACTGACATGGGAATAAAAAGGATCAGACATGACACTGTTTCATTTTGAAGGGAAATGCAATTAATTTATATTTCATTGAATATATCAGGCATTTGATGCAAGAGGCCTAAAGTTTTAACTTTTAACTGACAGCTCAACTTTGTTCAAAGGTGTGTAAAACTCGTTTATTACATCTGTCAGAAAATAGTGAATGCATAAAAACAGTAGAGTAGGAATATTTTTTTTGTCAATGAATTGGTTTATAAACAAAATCAGTTTCTGAGACTTAAAAACTAAAAATGTTCCTGTCTCTTTTTTTAACTTTTAACTCTGCAATATTATGCATGGCAGCATCTAAGTTTCAAAATGCCAATATGCTTTGAGCAGATTTGTATTTTGATACTAATATCCTCATTATGCAATTTTCCTTTAAAGTGTGAGGTCATATGTTTGGACCCTGCAGGTGTGTTTGGAGGATGCTCACCAAAAGCCGTCTTCTTGTCCCGGGTCAATGAACTCGTCTGTGTCCGAGTCCGGGGAGCTGTAGTCGTGAGGTCTCTTCATGTCTGAGCTGGATGACGGATGGACGGAGGGATTTGGGGGATCCTGTCGGCCGCTCTCTGCTGCGTGGAGGCACTGAAGGCGTATAGCTCTCACCCTGTGTGCCCCTCACTCTCACTTTCTCTTGCGCTGTTACTTATAAAAGCCTTGTTGTCCTTAGTTACTTCTTGTCACTTGGTTTAGTTTTTTTGTTGTTTTCTTCACGTGTCTTCTGTCCTTTTCCTCTGTGAGTCAGCGGAGCCACTTGTTCGACCCCCGAGGGCCCATGACAACTGCGAAAATTCACAAGCTGCTTTGGTCTCTCTACTCTGTCACTGGCATCCAATCATGACTCTCGCTCCCTCTGTGTTATTTCTCTCTTGGCTGCCTCTCTCTCTGTCACAGCCACCCAATGACAAAATAGGACTTTGGCAGCTGGGGCAGGATTGCCAGTTTCTGCTCCCCCGCCTCTTCTCCCTGTCCCTCCTCCCTCCCTTTAATCTGGCCTTCCCCAGCTTGTCACCCTCCCTTCCCCCCCAGGCCCCATCTTTCCACCCCTTTGCTCAGTCATCCTCAGTCAATTAGCCTCCAATCTTCTCCTGCTCTCCTTCCTTCCTTCCTTCTCTCTCTCTATCCTTTCTTTTCTATTTCTGCTCCTTTCATTACACTGCTGCGTAGAACAATGGCAGCGGGAGGGAGGGAATAAGAGAGGTGAGGAGTGTGGGAATTATGCACTGTGAAACCACTCCATCATTCGCAGGGGAGTGTGTGACAGTGCATGAAGCTCCACTCTCACACAATTACACAGGTGACTCAGAGAATGGAGTCATTGAGCAGCGTTTTGGTGGTGGGAGTGAGAGAGAAACACAGCAGAGATTTATAAAACATGACTGCAGTTATACAAAGATGGATAACACGCGATGACCTTTAGGCATCTGTCAGTGATCAGCAAAGAACCACAGTATGAAGAAAAGAAAAGAAGGATACACATATTTCCTGTCTACACTATAAAACATACTTCATATTGTTATAATGTGTTAATAGTAAAACGTCAAATCAGTTTTCAAAACAGTCAGGCGTACCCCTACAGTCCTGTCAGATGAGCTACCACTTAATCTGTTGTCCGAGCATTATTTATTTACATAAAAGTGAATTTGCTACAACAAAAACACTTTTTTTGTTAAGGTACAGTTTGCCTTTCACATTTTTGCCACCATCATGTTTACATATTGTACTTTAAGGGACAGAAGCTAGACATTTTAATCATATTATCCAGCTATTATAACAGTTTATCCATTTTGTTTAGATACTATTTCCACTGGTTTGCTTATTACTTTTAGCTACTGTTTAAACATGTATTCCAATTTTGTTTAATGTTTCAACTGGATGCATTAACAGTTAACCATTTAAATTGCATGCTTATTTTAGCTAACTATTTCAACTGTTTATAGATTACTTTCAGCCTACTTCTAATGCATCAAAAGACCAATGTGCATGATTTGGCGGCAGATTGCAACGACTTGAATATTGCCTCAATCACCTCTCGTTTTTCAAGCGTGTAGTAAAGGTATGGTGGCCTTCAGGTAGCGTAAAAAAAAAGCCAAAAGGCCATCTCTAAGGCCGCGTATAAAGGACATGCTTCCTAGATAGTAGATATGAATATGAATTAACAGCAAAAAAAATTAACAAAAATGTTTTTGTTTGAAAAGATGATCTATTATTAAAACCCAGCTTTATATATTATATATAATTGTTTTCCCAATAAAACGTTCTAAATCTCACACTGGTTGTTTATTTTTTAGCTACCTTTAAATTACAATATAACAACTGTTTATTTGTTAACGTAACATTTGATGTTAGCTTTTCCATCTTTATTTGCATTACTTTTAACTAACAATTGCAACTAGCATTACATACTGCGTTATATTTCAATTGTACAAAAGAAGCTTCTCTTGGTTGGGAATCACAGAATAATATCATTACGATGAAAAGATGACTTTAGACACAGATTTGGCAGTGTGTTTTCGGAAATCCTCACAGTAAGACATCTTTCTAACTTTTTGTTGAGCTCAGATGGAGATTTATAGACCTAATTTCTTCCAAACGTGTGTGTGTCAGTGTGTGCAAGAGGGCAGGTACTGAGGGGTCAAGAGAGGAATCATCCTAGTGAGTGTCTGAACATCTGGGCTCTTCATTGGACAAGATAGCGCTCTCTGTACGCTCACACACACACACACACTCCCCCACACACTCACACACATACGGTTACTTAGCGCTCGGTTCCGCTGCCACCGTGGGAAGATTGCTGGTACAGATTGCCATGGAAACACGAGGCCCAGGCGCCCGTTGTCAGGAGCGATGCCTGACTGACCCAGTGGTGTGTGCATGTGTGTGTGCATGTGAAAGACGGAGAGAGGCCAAGTGGCATGCCTCCTTCACACAATGCCCAGCTGAGTGTGTCTCTTCCTGCCAGGCAGACTGGAAGGGTGTGTTAGTTTAAACATACTACAATGCACAAGATGTGTGTGTGTGTTTTGAACATGTATTTTTGTATGCACTTTTGTAGGTCCTGGAAGTAGCAAGAAGCCTTGTATAGAAACACAGGTATATTTCATTTCTATTACTCCAGATGTTTCTTTGTCTCTTTAAAATATTAGCGCGTATTTTCACATCTTTGTTTTCCTCTTGTATTAGTTGAGTGTTGATCCTGAACTCATACGGATAAAGTAATATAAAACATGTGCGTGTGTTTGTAATATCCAAGTGTCAGTAATCAGTGGGACCATCACCAGGGGGCTTAAAGTGCGGTGGTTATGAGTCAGGAGCAAAAGAGAAAAAAGTATCCCTTTTTCTCTGCTTTTATTCAAACAACCCCCGCTCTACATATCCTTTCATTACCCATCATTCCTTAATTCAGATCTGGATCTCATTTCTGCATCAGAACACAGGGAAGAAAGAGTCCAAAACAAAAGAGACATCTATGAAGTCAGGCTTCAGTCTTTTCCCTTTACTTGTTTTTTATCACCCACCCACCCAGTTTTCTCTTCAAAGAACAACTTTCCTCTGTATCACCATCGCTCTGCTTCTTTGTTGTTGTTTTTTCTAAATGAAATCGCTCTGGTTTCACTCATCATTTCTACACTCCCCAGTTGTTCCAGGACGATGAGGCAAGTTGCATTAAACAAACACGCACAGTGGAAAGTAATTAAGGAGATGAATGAGTTAATAATTATGAAAATAGTTTCATGGTGAGGGTGTGTGATGGAGAGAAACTTAAAGGGGGAGAGAGAGAGAGCTGGCACTGGATGGTGGGATGGCATTCTGGGAGATTTCTGGCGATCCTGGTCGGCCACTTCAAGTCCCCTCCCTCCCATCCTTCCAAACCACAACAAGGCAGCGTCCTTTATTGAAATTAACAAGCTCATACTTTTACAATTTGCACACACACGCTCTCATACGCAACTTCAACATGAACGTGTGAACGCTCACTCGCTCAGGGACACAACACACAACTGATTCCTATACAAGCACACACACATGCAACCCCTTCACACGAATGTGGACAGTGCATACCCACAATTTATAAGGCACAAACACTCAGCTGCAATTATTGCCTCTGATGCATGACTATTGCTATTGTTTGAAAGGCTGTGAGATGGAACCAGCTCAGCGGGATATTGTGTGTCTGACTTCTCCCTCTGCATTCACGTCAAACTAAATCAATGGTCAGATATGTCTCAATGCGTGGGTGACTTTGATTATGTGTACAGTACTCAGCAACAGAAAACCAACTCTCCACAACATATTTTTCCGCAAATGTAGCAAGTCTCATGCGAAAGGACACGCAAGATAATAGTTAAAAGGGAAATATAATAAAAGCCATTGAATATCAAAAAGATTCCAAGAGACCGAGAATTGTATTTCTCAAAAGCTTGATCTAACAGAGTATCCCACTCTTTTATTGAGACCCTAAATGATCTTTTTAATAAACCAGTTTTGTAATATTTCACGTTTAATGAATGAAGGCACACACACAGGGTTGCAATCAAATCACTTTGTTTTTAGACCATGTTATAGTTTTATTTCCTGCATTAATCTGCTGGATTTGAGTTAAATCATCAGCCAGTTTATGATGATGGAAGAGGAAATACAAAAATGACATACATTTATGAGCAAAGCCTTGATGTCGAGCCATTGGATTGTTTGTCTTTAACAATTGTTGCTCGTCTTTGATTTAGATATTCATTTAAATGCTGTTTAAAACCAAGGAGGTTAGGTCTTCGGTTTGGTTAATTGGTTTGTTTATATGTTGTGTTGTGTTTCAGCAGGGTTATGGAAAAACTACTGGCAGAAACTTGGCAGAAGAGTTGAGAAATGTTGGAGTTGCTCCTAATCATGGTACTTATTATTTTCACTTATGGAAGCAGCCTTGGCGTGGGTTATCTCCAAGTGCCCTTAGTTTTGTTGTTTGTTTGTTTTTCATAACTTTAAAGTACTTCTAAATCCTCAAATAACTCCTCGGATTTGATCAAATAGCATTAGTCAAAAGGAAATGTTTGCACACTGTCTTGAACCCCTGCTGAGAATTTATAAAAGGCCAATTGTGGTCAAAGGGGCGCTGCATGGTGCCCAGCTGTATGCAAGTGCTATTGACATACACTAACCCCCCATAATCTGTAGGTTTCTTATTGGTTTGAGGCCCTCATGGTAGCCAGCCTGTGTCTGGGCAAGCAGTCACTGGGGTCAAGATTTGGATTGGCATGGGAACTGGCACCGGAGCAGCTTGGCACCGTCTGGGTCGGACCCATGAGGGAATTATTTGCCCCTTCAGACACATAAGGAATGCCTGGGCCCTGTGGCACTGCCTGCCTGCGGAATAACCTGGATATAAGAGGCATTCCTGGGAACGCCACATTGGGTCCGCCAAATGCTGCATGGTGTTTTTAATGATCTGATTGGGCTGATATAAGCTATGAATAAACTTCCAGAGAGAAAGCGTTAGACACCGTTGGTATGTTGTGATTTAAGGTGTCAAGAGGGCAGGATGGCTGCAGCGCTGGGTCATGCTGCCTGTCAGAGAGCGAGAGACATATAGAGACAACACAGAGAGAGAGAGAGTCCTCCCTCCTCATCCGGCTCCCCTACACACAGATAAATAAAGATTCTAAAAGCCGAGGAGAAGAAGCAGAAAGGGACTTTTGTGGCTTCCGAGTGGGGTCCCTTTCATGGCGGTTCCCACAGCACTAGGCCTGTGATGACATTCATGTTTTACTCACACACACACACACACACGCTGATGGGCCCTGTGACTGCGGTGACTTTCGCTGGTGCCGGGACCCCAGACGGGACGGCGAGGGCCCCGAGAGCCACAGGCAGCCATTGTGCTGTCGCCGCGGAAACCAGCCTCTTTATGTCAGACATGTT